CGTTTAACTTTAAAGTTTAAACGGTTAAGGGTAAGGGTAAGGACGTACGTACTACTCGTCGTACGTACGTAAGTAAACGTAAGTAGTAGTAGTTATTATTACTTCTTGTGTGTGTGTGTGTGTGTGTGTGTGTGTGTGTGTGTGTGTGTGTGTGTGTGTGTGTGTGTGTGTGTGTGTGTGTGTGTGTGTTACAAACTGCACGTAAAAAATTATAAAAATAATTTTGTGTCAACAAGAACGGTTCAACCAAAAGGTGGAGTGAGCAGTTACCTATGAGTTCACAGTGTCATGGGCGCGAAACAGATATGTTTTTTTAATTAATAGCTTTATCGGGTAATGTTTTAAGTTGGAGACTGCAGTATTTTAAAAGCACTATTTGGTAAAATATTGTTTTCACTAGTAAACTTTCAATGCAAAAAATGAGGGTTGGGGCTTAATCTGGCACTGTGTCACAAAGTATCACTATTTATTTACACTACAATTCAAGAAACCTGATAACCCGGGTATTTTCGGAAAGTATAATTTCATGGTTTCATCTTCTCCAGCAAAAACAAAAATCGATTCGAGCGCTAAAATTAATACTATTTAATTTCACCACAATTCCAGAAACTCGAGTTTCTTTGAAAGGTACACCTTCAGAAATGTTACCCGATTCAAGTACTCAAACCGTTTCCATTTTGTAGTGACATCACAGTTTAGCAAAACCATGCGGTAAACACACAAAACATTATATATAGTATTACTATTATTTGAAAATATATATGCGAACTAACGCTGATGAGAAAAAAAAAAAAAAGAATATTTCGATCTAATTAAACTTGGTTTTTTTTTGTTTTTTTTACACATTTCTTTTCATCAAAAATAATAAACGAGAAGTATACTTTAACTATTTCCTAGTATTAAATTTTAGGTTAAAAAACTTTTACTGACTTACAACGCTAAAATCCGGGATTCGATTTCCGGTGATGAACAGAGTGCAAGGCAGTCCATTGTGTAGCTTTGTATTAACAATAACAACAACAAAACTACCAGTCTCTAACCTAAAGTAAATCGTCTTTTATTACTCTCGTACTGACACACAAAACATATTATGATGGTCGTTGTATTAATTTCCAAAAAGTAGGATTTAAATCTCGGTATGACAAAATTGATAATGTGTCCAGTTATTCTGATAAGAAAGATTAACCTTATCAAATTATATTAATGTATTTGTCTTCACGGGGTATTAACAAGTCAACCGGATGTAATATTTTCAGAATAATTATTAATTTTTATTTAACTTTTAAATTCGGAAAGATTAATAAGTAGCGATCTCAGTTTCACATTTCATGTCTACGTGGCGCCCTCTAGTGAAACCAACAAAGTATGAAACTTGTTGCATATTACATGTTTGCAAGTGATCCGTGTTCAATGTATATTTCAAAACTACTGAACAAGCATTATGGGAAAATATATTAAAAGTACAAAGAGAAACGTTTTATCCTTCTTCCTCACAAATACAGGTCTCTTACATATAGTATAACCTGAAGCCAAGCAACTGAAAGTGAGCGTCCTTCAATATTCATTTATTTATTTATTTACTCCCTTTTTGAAATGGAAATTACTTTATCTGCCCCAAGTTTTCCATTAAATTAGTATTTATATTTTGTACTCGCACCGTTAATGAGGAGCACACCCAGGTTTGGTTTAGGGGGGGGGGGTTCACTTTCAATCCACAGTTTCTAAATAACGTGATTGATAAATGTCTTCTCTGTATAATACAATTGTTACTGAGTGAATAACAACAATACATGCATTTCTCATTGTTTAAAAGTCGTTTCAGATTAGATATAAATACTCAGCTATCTAAATATCACTTATTCTTTTTATCCATTTTTTGCGCAAATTTTAAAAGTTTGTCTACGGAAGGGCTCGAACCCCCAAGCCCCCCTTTCTTTGTGCGCATTCCCTTAATACAAGTATTCTAGAAGGGTACATATTTTTTTGTGATGTCTCCGGAGGAGGGGCAAATATACAGGAGCAATAAGTA